TTGACGTTTCCTCAAGGGAACAGAGAGGTCGTAATTGATTTTCTGTGGATTTGGATTGTATTTGCTCTTTAAACTAACCTTGATGTTTGTTTGGTTTTCTGTTTTTCTTATTCCACCAGAGCGTATACAAATGTGACTTCTTAAATCTTCAGATTCAGCAACCTCTCCAACTGGCACAAGATGCTATAGATGCCTTTCTTAAGCAACTGAAAAATCCCATTGATTCTCTGCCTGGAGAATTATTCCATGTTGTCGTTTTCTCACTCCTCCTTTCTTACTTTCCATCACCCTATCAGCGATGGATATGCTGCAAGAAGGCACACGAACTTCTCGTATTAAATGGCTTATTGCTTGTAATAACTCCTGATTCATCTCATCAGAATCGCCGGGCTATGATGATGAAAAGCTGGAAAATTGCCATAGAGTCCTTGGGTTTTAAACGCTTCAAGTATTCCAAGTTTTCTCACATGCACCTGATGGCATTTAGGAAAACTTCCCTCCAAACAACAAGTGACTTAGTTAGCAGGAACTACCCAGGAATGTTGTATATCCCACAGGATTTCAACAGTATAGAGGATGAGGAGTATTCCAACACTTCCTGCTATGTTCGATCGGATATGGAAGATGAACAGCTAGCTTATGGTTTTATGGAGCTACCTGATGCTCCTTATGACTCAGACTCTGGAGAAAGCCAGTCTAGTTCAATTCCTTTCTATGAGCTAGAAGATCCTATATTGCTTCTAAGTTAATATAGTCATTGAAATGCCCTTTCAGTCAAACTTCTTGCTTAACTAATTTTGCTATACTAACATGGGCTCAGCACACAAAAATGGTTTGCATAAAGAAAATGCAAAGGTTTACAGAGTTTGCTATTTTTTTCTACTTCTGAATTTTAAAATTTATTCTTGTATGAAAGTGGAAAAAATACAAGTTTTATGCAAATGACTCATGTCATAGCATAAATTGCTGTTACTTTCTTTAGATTTGTATCACTAATTTTTTTTTCCAGAAAGGTACCATTCTTTTCTTTAGTGCTGTGAAGTGTGAATTCTATTTAATTTGTTAAATGTTGTTTCAATATTTTAACTCAGTGTGGTTGAGCTTAAGGCACTGGAGTTGGTGGGCTTCTGAGAAGTATATGTAGGAAGAAATAATTTGCACTTTAATTAAATGTGCAGATAGGTTAAGACACTTGCTTACACATGTCCCTTCTTATGGAACAACATTTTTTTTCCAAAATGAGTTTCTCCAGTCCAGGCTTAACCAGAATGAAAGAATAGTGTTTGCACATTTGATTTTTATGTTTCTTGCAGCCCTCTTGAGATAACACCAAATCGAGATAACACCAAAACACTGGAATATATTCATCCATAGTTATACATACGTTAATGTAACTTCATTGCATAAATATCAGTTAGACATGAGATTTCTGAAGATGTTATCCCCCCGAGAGCAGTATGGTACGTCTAGACAATTATGTTTCACTTCAAAGCTGGAACATGATTTTGCAATTTTATGAGTGTACAAGCACTAACATGGATCAGTATTTCCCCGATGACAGTGTTCTGTATTCTCTTCACACTGTGTTTTTGGGGGGATAGGGTGGGTTTTGTCCTGTTTTAAAGTAAATTATTTATGCATTTTAAAAGCAAACAACATTTTCTCTAATCGTCCTTATTTGTAGACCTCCCAAATTATACGGTAACTACCAACCGATTTAATAAAAAGGAGCATTATTATACAAGTTTTTCAAGGATACACATATTTGCACAAGGCCGTGTATTCAGACCACGCAAGTGAAGTTTGCTTATTTTTTTGTTTATTTGGACCCAAAAATCTTCTGTTTACTTAAATAAAAACCCCATAGCTGTCTGAAAACTGGTCTGCACTGTAAGGAGATGGAATAGAAGTGGTTTACATCTATTATGTTTTTTAACTTGTGTAATAAATTTGTGAGTTTTTGCAGGAAAAACAATTCTGTTCAGTAGTAAAAATAGAGGATTCAGTATTAGTTTAGCTTAGATCTCACTGGATTTAAAAATAATGGCCAGAATTTTCAGATTTGAATGTTAGGCTGTTAATTCTATATGTAAGTGCCTAATAATAAATTATTTGAACTAGGTGCCACATCATGGTTTTAAGACTGACTTCAGCAAAATGCTAGAAAATACTCATAACATAGTTTCACAGGTGGTTGTGACGGAACATACCTTACACCATATTAACCTACCATGTTGTATCTGTAATACAGAAGTTACCAGAGAAACTGAAATTGTAGTGTGGATTTTACAGTGATTGCGACAAAAATGAATCTTATTCCTTCCATTGAAGTTTTGCACTGAAAGTGTCACAGTCTGACCTACCTGTTTTTCTTCCATACTGTTTCCTACATAGAGTCATCCTGCATTGGTCCAGCTTATGCTCAAACATCATCTGAACTGCAATGCTTTATTCTTTAACATAAGCTTTTTGTGTCTCTCTCCTTAAATTTAAAGCATCCCCTAATACCTGATGCAAATTTGTTATTCAATCTGGATGATATAGTTATATACAAATGAAACAATTATATTCTGATGTGGGGGAAAAAAAAATTAGGTTTAGACATACAAGTATCTTTTAAATTTATTTTTTTTTTTACAGAGAATACTTCTCTAATGAAATACACAATGGCTTCAAAATTGGCTAGAAGTCAGTATTTGCATCCAATGCTTTACTACTTCACTTTCAGTAAAATATCTGTCATTCAACGCCTTTCTTCTTCCCAGTTAACCACTGACTCCAGCAGTGCTCATGTTAAAGCTAAAATATTGGTGCTATAAATTCAGCTGTTTATGGAAACTTAATCTGTGCATACTTCAAAGTGTAGCTAACATTTTAACTGATACTCCTTTTAAAAACAAGTTATATGCCAGCTAACATATTTGTTGGCATTGATTAATGTAAATTGGTTTGTGATTCATTAAAAAAAAAG